CTCCGATTTAAGTCCTCGGTTGAGCTTAACTGTTTTTGGCAACCCAATGTAAATCGCTTGCGACAAACAGGACAAACGCGGACCGCATTTGGACTCGGTTGGCCGCGAATTCGCCTTATTAATTATACCGCTACATTAAACGCGAATACCATTTTCCATTATTCCAAAAGACTTATAGCATATTGCCCGCAGTGTATAATCACGAGCGGACGGAGATTACTCGGAAGATTAGGAAGGAAAAATGCCCGGAGAATAACAATGTAATCTACTGAACGTCTGCATTGTTTGCAAATTGAAACGACCGTGGTCAATTATTTATTCTCGAGTCATTGCAAAAATCAGATATACAGTAATTGTTCGAGTCGCATAAACGAATCCTCAAATCTAATAATTCTACGAAATTATTTATCTAAATAAAGTGTATTTATTTAAGTAAAAGGGATCCCTAACAGCAATGTCATTGTACACAATTGGCACACCGTCCATTCCATTTGGCATGTTCTGCAATTCTGAACATCATTAGACGATTGTTTTGTACGATCGGGAACTTTTGTTTTGAAAGTACTTTCAATATCACTTGCTTAATCATTTCTCCAATATTTACAAAAGGTCGAATGTCGCAAAATATTCCACATGGGGTTCGTAGATCCATCATACTATTATTATCGCAACCCTCTTATGCATTAATTATCATAATGCATTGGGCGTTAGTTCGGGATATTATATCATTGTAAATAACGTTAATATGCGTCTTGGTGTATTAAAATCGTGGTTTTGGCTACCAACTACCATTGAGATGGTAAATACTTAATATTATAATCTTAGTTGTTGGACCCTTAAAATTACTTACGCCCTACAAATATACAATGATTGATTTTTGTGCAAATGGTAATTCTTGCCAATTTTCCAATTACATTTTCTTCGAGCCGCAAACATGTTAAAAAAAAAAACCTTTTTATGATAAGAAAAAACGAGAAACTTTTTTCATTTTTGCAACATACCGTTTCCATAAGCAATAAAGTAAATAAAAAAAAAAGAAAACGCTAAGAAGGGTGCGCAATTTTAATGGGAAATCTATAGTTAAGGATCCGACGAAGAAGCGGCTGCATGAGGAATGTGCACGACGGCTGTTGTTGTAGCGCGTTATGAGTATAAAATAATATAAAAATACAATCTTTGTGGAATAACGCAAAAATAAACAAGAAAACAGAGGGGGGAAATTACACAGTAAAAAAACAATGTAAATAAATAATAGTTTACCGTGTAAAAAAAGTCGGTTGAAATTGCAGTGAAATTCTTGCAAAACTCCATTATAGAACAGCTCATAAAAGATAACCGGAAATTGTTTCAGTGAACGTGATCGAATGGGCTTGGAAAATCTGAGTATGATGTAACCATTTATTATGGCCAAAACGAATGACCTTTTAGAGTCATAATTTGCGAAGATGACAGTGCTAAACGCCCGAAAGGGAAATTGGAGAAACATTCGTTGAGAATACATAGATCTAAAACAGAATACTAAGAGTTTAAATTTAGTAACGTGACAGTTTTAGGAGGGAGCACTTGTCATGCTCGGAGAGTCAGATTGGTAAACTGTGTTTTAGTATATATTTGGATTTTGGAATCAGATATTGGAGAAATTGAAAAAGCAGTAGAATAAAATGGGTTTGGACGCGTTGAAAAGAGCCAAAAGTTGGGGTTGTGTAACAAGAAGTCGCCAATTTAGAGTGAGAGAAAAGATGTTTTTAAAACTGTTGTGTTAGACGTCATAACATGATATTTAAATTCAAAGCCAAAGACAAATTGTACAGAACTATGTAGAGAACCCAGAAGGATGTGATTGTTGGGCATTGTAAGCGAGAGCTAAAAAGAACAGGATTAGGAACAGAATATAAAGAGTTTCAATTTAGTAACGTGACAGTTTCAGAAGGAAGTAATTATCACGCTCGAAGTCGGAAGAGCCATTAGTAAAAAGTGTAGATAAGTTTTATTATCCATTTTAAACCAGATTTTGGAGCAATTGAAGAAGCTGAACTAATGATACAGATAGAATGATCGTTGGAGTATCAGAAATGTCAATGCCAGTTGGGGAGATGGTCTGATAACAAGAAAATGACAATGATTGATTCAGCCGATTTGGGAAGTCAGGAAGGAATGACAGAAGTTCGATGGGAAAACGAGTACTCGATTAGTAGGAGATTTATAAGCAAAGGAAGACTTAAGAAAATGTAGGGGACATATTGTAAGTAAAGACTTGAGATGTATTTAGAGACAGGAAAAGAGAGAACGATTGACCAAATTATAATCCTAGTAATCACATTAGCATTACCGTGAACGACCATCGTTCGCTGTTATTTTTCAATATCGTAAGCCGTTGTGCAGTTGGCCAATATATAACATTATGGTTAATGCAAATTGGTTAGTTTAATATTCGTCTACAGCACCGTGGCGTCGGATGAAATCATCTTAGTAACTTGCAATTAATATTAAAATTAAACATGGACTTTGCAGAGATTTTATTTTCAAAAAGCCGCTGTTCGTCTGTGTAATAATCAGAGTACGATATCTTTAGACTTTGGCCTTTGGCGAGCAAATTCGTATTCAAAGGCGTACACTAATCCTCGTTTCGTTAATTAGGAAAATTCCAAAATGTCGTTTCTGAATACTTTAAATATGACCGACTTGGGCTTTAGGCCGCGACGAAACGGCCAACGAATTTCTCCCTGATGACGAATAAAATTCCAACGGACCAGACACACTATTAACGTGCAAATTAGGACCAAAAAGCTCCAAGCTTTACTTGAATATAATTTTTTTTTTTTTTATTCTGTTCCTCTTACAAATTTATAAATTATTATCATTGTGAAACAGTTTGACAGGAATTAAAAACGGTTGGTACGAGTTGTGGTGTGCCCTATGAAAAACATGTAACTAGGTTGTAAACATAACGTTGCAGATTCTCTCTAGACTAGTTTTCTTTTAACATTCTATTATTTTAAGCACTCTGTCTAGACGCTAACGAGAAAACGGCAAAAAGATATTATACACTTGCAATTTTCCGTAATAACCATAAAAAAAATAACAGTGTCAAGTTAATGTACCGACCAATTACCGATTAAGTAGTTACTATTAATTCGCATCCGCTTAATAGCCATTTTAAATTGCTAAACTTTACGGACCTTTTCAAAAAACATTGATTTATACCGTCTGAGCTGTATAACGAGCATACTTGAAAACGGTCAAAAACACAACAAATCGCTTGCCATTAAACAAACTGTCGGTAGCTGTTTAATCAAAGAGGGAAAACAGTAAAATAAATACTTCAAACCATAAACTATTTGTTCAACAGTACGGTAAAACCTATCAATGGTGAATATTAATCAATAGCTTAAAATGGAGTTCACTGACCATTATAGTAATAAATTATAATAGGTATTATTATTTTTTAGTCGTTATTATTTTTTGTTTGCGTTGTATTTTTAAATTAACTCCCACTTTCTCCACGCCGCATAGAAGGAAGCTAGGTAGTTATTTATTATTAGTGTAGTAGGTTTATTAGTCTTATTTATTGGTAAATGGTAATTTAAGTATTTAAACTAAAAACTTTAAATCTTAAAATGTTTATATTTTATCACCTTCTACTGCTATCATGAGTCATGACCGTTATCAACAGACTTCCTTATCAATAAACCATATCTTATCACAAGTCTCTCACATCCTTATCATACCTGTAATCGGCTAATTTATTTTTATTAATCTACATTCTTATCACTAAATATAAACTAACTAGAAGAAGAAAAAACGAACACCTTCTCAGCTTCGCATCGAAGCAAAAATATTTTTAAAACTTTCTTGTTACTATAATATAATAAAGATATCACATTTTATGTATTTGCCATAGCTGATTCGGAATTTGGTATAAGTTTCAATTTACCCTTTACTGTTGGGGCGTGGTCCATTTGACACCTCCTCAGTTTTGAATCGAAGTTAAAGAATGTTTAATCAAGTTAATTCGTTTAAATAAATAATGTATTTACATTATGTACATTACGACAACTTTTAACCCATATAATTATATTTATACGATTTGACCATTTTAAAGTTGAACCTTATTATGGTTTAATCAGTTATAGACATTTTTTTTTCTAATAGTTTTTATACTATGTGACCTTAATTTTTTTTTTGCGCTTAGTACAAAAACCCTTTTTATATATTTAATCTTTTAATTTAACACAATCGAAAATGTTACAAAGCTAAAACTTACATTATTTATTATAGCTACAAAAAAATTGTTGGTATCCTAACGAGAAGTATTCGTATAGTATATTTAATAAGATGATTTGGTATTTAGGTTAACTTCATACTTTTTTAGTTTAATATGAAAACATGTTATTATTTGAACAATACACGTGCAAAATATTTTTTGCTTATGTACTTCAAATTTAAATGTATAAGAGGCATGAGTAACCCTTTTATATATGTATTTTTTACTACCTATTAGAAACAAAGACGTATAGGAGCTAAGGTTAATTTATATTGTTAAAAAACAGAAAAAGAGTTGTTTAACATTTTTATAAATTTATAATATTTAAAAATAACATTTACAAATCACCCAAAAAGTACAGTAATCAATTAAAACAAATAAACAAACATACAACCCTTAGAGTTTTATATAGAAAACACAAACTTTGAATTTTTTTAATAAATAAACATAAATTGAATAGCGAACGGCGATAGGATGTTGTAGTAAATATTTTGTAGGCCTAAAATATTGATATAAAAATAAATTTACAAGGCGATACTGGCTTTTTATTTTTGTATTTACCATTTGGAAAACTAAAACGCCTGAAATATGTCGCTATGATTTATTTTCATTTATCACATTAAAAAAATTAACGACCATAACAATATATATATTATTAAGAAACGAACAAATTACTTGCTTAGAGCCTGCAAATGTTTAAATCCATCACCGACCGGCGTTGTAGCGTACAGGTACATTACTTTTTACGAACCATTATTCTATAAAATTCCTCCCAATACATAGCACGGCCTAGAAATCATTTTGAAAGTATTCACATTAAAATTAAAAACTTGTTCTTTCTACATACCCAGCAATGGTGCAGTTAACTCTTCGATTTCCACTACAGTTAGACTGTATTGCTCTTGTTCCCTCAGCATGTACTCTCTAACTGTTTTCCTTTTTGCTTTCTGCCTTTTGTCGAATTCAACACCACATATACTTTTAGTCTGAATAAGCACGCCTTCAAAAATATTGACGAGTTGCTAAAATTATAAAAAATTTTGTTTTTATTACACAATGTGAAAACTACTATTATAGAAATAATACATCTAGAATCCAAAACTATTATTGAATTATTCACTAGGTTTATAGAGTATTTAATTATTTATGAATGTTTTTTTTTTACTATATTATATATTAGGATAGAAAAAAAGATCATAATTACCACAAAAGTAAGTTTTGCCGTTATCGCTGCTATAAATTCGTTTTCCGACATCTCATCAACTAGAAATCATTTAAAATGTATTCACATTAAAATTTACCAAACTATATTATGCTGTAAGTGATTGCAATTATTGTTATTGCGTTTTTATAAACAATATTAAGGGTACATATATTTTACAATATCTGTTAATGAATTATTATTATTCAACGTACCCCACACCATGGAATCAAGTATCTTTGAGGTATCCAAAACAGAAATATGAAAATCCGCGATCACGGATGGTTTTCTTATGCAATCATTTACTGCATCTTTGACAATACCACCGCTACTCCTCCCAAGTAATCCTAAACACACTTTATGAAGTCTGGCTAGTTCCTAAAATTATTACATATTTTCTATTTTTAATAAATCATATAATTAAAAAGAAAAAAATCAATATTACCGATGGATTTTGGCAAATTCCTGGATTTGCTATACAAAAATGAACAAACAAATGCAAAAACACAATACAAATTTTAAAGTTCATTATTGTATTTGTTTTTTTCAATTCATTAAAAATTCGACTACTGTTTTGCAGTTGTTTAAAATTCAAATGGTTCTTATTCTTTACAATGGCTTCTGTTGGAGCGATTTCAGTGTAAAACGTTTAACAGTTGTATAAATGCATGTTTGTTCTATGTAGTTTAAAATTCAACTTTAAAATAAATAATCGCGACTATAGCCTATGTGAATCGTAAAAAAAAAGTAGTTGTTTTAAACGTTTTATAGAAAAATTAATGTTTTTCAAATCACTTCCATATTGATATTATTATTTTAGACGTTTTATTATTATTGTATTCTATTTCTTCGTATGATTACACCGGTGAATTTATCCAAGTTCACGCTTGGATGTCCAAGCTTTAAAAATCGCAGGCGAGTCGTTGGACATACCTTGGATCTATGGCCAAGCTAGTTGATAACAATATTTACTGCCCCGAAATTCTTTTGACTCAACCCCCTAAACAATTTTAAACGTTCAATGCAATCGTCACGATCTATTCTGTACAGGTTTTGAATAGACTGAATTAAAATTCGGAAAACTTTATATGTCTTATTCATTGTTTTTGCGAATGCTGCGACGACTGTTGCCGAGCACTCCTGGCGGTCCTTTTCTTATCCACCAAGTCTTCCGGTCGGTAAATGGTCGATTTGTCTTTGCGGCCGTACTTGTCGTGCATCATGTCCAATATTTTCGGCGTTATCAATTCCACGTCGAAACTCGAACCCGAGCTAATATCGTCCGCGTCCGGGCACTCTCCCAACTTGAACACCGTCGGACTAGCCGTGTTGTCGGCCGTCAAGAAGTTCATGGTAATCGTGTAAACGCCGTTTTCTTTGTTCAAAACCAACGTGGGCTCGGCATTACTTTTCTTGTGTTCGGCGCCACCACTTGTCTTTGTCGCCACGGTGACGTTGGACGACTGCTCTTGTAGTTCGACGTTTTCCACGACCTGCAAATTGTCGTCCACCAAGTTCGTGTCGGCGATTTGCTTTTCTTCGTTTTTGTTCTGCTCGGGTGGATTGAGCTTGTGGCATTTGGAAAGCTGAAAAAAGTAGACGTGTAGGTAACCTGCGTATTAGGATAGACACTATTCAGTTAGCGTTTTTTTGAGTTTAATTATATTTTGGAAATTCTCGAATCTCAATAAACGCTGGGTCGAATCAAACTCGTGATATTTACATCTCTGTACGCGAATTTGGAGGTGATCCAGCCCTTGTTCTTGGGAATAGGCGACCAACATTGGACACAACCCTTGTGTCCAAATTGTCTGACCCTTCGAAAATCGTCGCCATAAGTGTACACGTATTGCACTTCTTTCGGCTTCTTCTTTTCGTCGGTATTCCCAACGGCCGGAACCGAATCGACTTCCATGCAACATTTGAAACGTTTCTTTGCCTTCGCCGGAGGAGTGGCTGTGCAGTTTTTCTCGGGTTGTTCCTGGACGTGTTTTTCGACAACTGGATTGTGGTCAAGCTGATTTCGTTCAATCAACAGCTTTTTGTCAGGCGGATTTGGTTCGACCGCAATAGTTTGACTTCCGTTCCTTTCAGAGGAATAACTGTTGTTTTCCTCTACCCTCGACGACGTCAAACGTTCGTCGTCTCGGTGGTCCTCGCTACAGCATCCGTCAATACTAATATCCGATAGGTCTGAACACTGTTCGGTCGAATCGCCGAAATCGCACAGGTCCAAATTGTCACCGACGTCGCCGTCCTCGTCCGAATCAAAAGCCACCACCACTAAATCCTCGGGAAAGGTGTTTCGCGCTGGCCGTGGAAAGTCGATTTCTTCGTCGGGCAGCTGGAAAATCGCTTTCAATTTATTGATCGTTTCGATGCAAGCACATTGGTATTCCTCGTCTAACTCTTCCACCGACATCGACCTTTGTTGCCACTCTTGTCGTCCTTGTCGCGGTTGTTGTTGTTGCTGATGGAAATCTATGTCGCAATTAGCTTTACATCTGCCAACCGGTGCCGAAGTCCCGATGACCTTGTCCGTCTTCCACACCACCAAATCGTCATCAGTGTCTTGTGCTCTTTTGTTGGCAGAAAATTTGTACACGGAGTCGCCGAGTATTGCCGGCGCTGTGGTGCCATTGTCGAGTTGTTCGTTACGGTTTAAAACGTTCTGCATGGCTTTAAAAGAAAAAATTGGAAAATTTGTTTACAATATTATTATCATATTTACTCGGCATAGTTACCAAAAATGATAATGGTAAACAAATAACGACTAAATTTGGGCAAACGATTGAATTCTCGTGTATTCAGTTTGGACGAACAAACGTTTAACTTCCACGACGACAGGTGGAAATTATTGTTTTAGTCATATTGTGGGCTTCGACGATAAGGCGGTTTAATCACACAAAGACCGTGCACAGGCTTCTATTCATTGCCATCTCATTAAGTGAGAAGTTTGTGTTCCGTTCGATTAAAAGGCACGTTCGACGGTAATGTCTTTGCCATCAATTAACACACAATAACGACGAGTTGTCAACGGCGTCGGTAGAACAAAAATAAAAACCATTATCTGTTTGGAACTATTTACGGAATCAACGGTCTTCTCTTTTATTGTGCTATCTTGTCTAATTGGAATTTGGCACTAGGCCTGAGTCGACTTCAGAGCAGAAGACGACAATTTGTTTTGTTTGTTTTTTTTTATATATTTAAATTATTTATGTTTTAATAACTTATCGGTCAGTTTACCGTTAGGACAGTGCGCCTCTTTTGTAATGGCCCATTATTTAGGTGCCGACGACTAACAACGTGGCCATTGATGAAATGTAAAGTAGCTCAAAAGATATACGAACCGACAGCCTGTTAAGTTAAAATTAAAAAAACATGTACTTACTTCTACTTTGTAAAGACCAAAGAAAATCTAACAGTTTACAGATCCAACTTTTTGTATACATTCAAAAATATGTGTTAATTTTCATTGAAAAAAATGTGATGGACATTTTAAACTGTTGATAATATGTAAAATTTAATTCCCCCATCTTTATTTATGATTATATCCAAATTTATCATTTATGCAAATTATTATCGATAAAGAATTTGACAATAAACTGAATATATGTGGGAACATTTTATCATTTGTTGTGTTAATGTATAAAAGTCTCATAAGCTCCTAATTTCTTCTACCTACACCACTTAAGTAGAAGCAACGGTTCATAAAAGCCTTACTTTTACACTAACTACTTAAGCGTTTAGTACTTACCAAATGCTCGGCAGTTGACTATGCATTAACTGTGGAACACTGAAGTTTCAACTTGGTTGTGTTTCTTTACTTATAGTACATGCGTTTAAAAGGATCTGATAATGAAAAAAGTACTTTTAAAGTGTTAAATATGTGTGAAATTCACACTTGGGTGTAATAAATTAAAAATAACTCGAATTTCACGTTTTAGGCTTTCAACTATTGGCTTTTCTTAACTAACTTAACACTAAAAACAATTGTAGAAAGTATAAATTCTGAAACCATACAATTTAAATATTATTTCCTTTTTACATGACATAAAAATGTTTTACAGATAAAATATTGTTTCAATTCGTTCATACAACGCAAGTACATGCGATTTCTACATAATTTTTATTTTTTATCACACTTCCTGTTAATAATTAACAATTTAGTCACTACAAAAAAAAAAATGAAATGTATATTATATAATATTTTGAATACAACTCTGGTATCTTAAACGAACGTTAAATAATTTATTTGATTTTATTTTTTTGATTTTTCTTATATATTAAACGACAGTGTGTACCACGACGATTCGTTGGAAAAGATGGTTATATTTTGTATTTTACTGTTCAAGCAACGTTGTAAGTACACATTGTATGCGTTCAAAATAGGTTATTCCGGAATTAATACCTAATAAAAATATACCCACGTGCTGGGCCGATGCCCACTAGCCGTGCCAACGACATTTTTATTAAGGACATAGACTGGTCGCTTTAGAAGAAGAACGACGGTAAAATAATACACTGTAGCCCAAAACCGAAATCAAAATTTAATTACCAGAGAGATATGCAAATTGTGTTTTTATTTTATTACACGAGAACATGTTTTTATAGCCTACGCCGCTTTCAGAGCCTCGATGGCAATAAACTTGCTTTGATGTATTAACAATAATATACACATTGGACCAAACCGTTAAAGTACACTGTTTATTTTCCATTTCTACAGTGTGTACACTACTGGTTTTTACCTATTTTATCCGATGGGTATAAATTAAGTATGTCGGTTAATAAGTAATATAATAAATTTAAAAAAATTATTATAATATTCTATGGGAAAATATGTTACTAGAGGTTTTTAAAAACTATCTTTTGGCTGGTAGATATTTTTTTTTATTTTTCCGTTCAATACTCAATGTAAACCCGAAACTAAAGACTCGGCGCGTTCACTTGGTTGTGGAATTATCATTTAAATTAAACCTAAACCGATGTGATTTATTTGTAGACATTGATTACGGCCCGTTCATCCGCGGGCACTTAGACGTTGAGTCAATTTGATTAACATTTTCGAAATAACCGAGCCTTTTGAACGGTACAAATGCCGTTGTGGTCTTTGGAGACACAAAGGCATACATATTAATATAATAGCGCAGCACAAAACACCATCAAATGCATTTACACGAAACCGATTAATCAATCACATTGAAATAATTAAATATCAGCCTAAGGGCTAACGACTAAGTTATGTTGACTTTAGATTAATACCTGTAATAATATTACATTTTATTCTTTGTGCAATTTGCTGAGAAATTCTATTTTTATTTTTTTTAATGGTAGATCGGATGTTTAGGGTAAAAATTTTTTAACGTCACTTAATCAGTACGGTTTTTAGTTGAAGACTTATGCTATATAGTATTTGGCCGGCTGATTGAAGTAGTACAAAATAAATTAAAATTCTGTTCGAGACAACCTCTTCTAGTAGGAAGCCGCCTCTTGAGTACAGTTTTAGTTTTGACCGTTAAACTTTTCCTAGCCACTTATGATCTATATGGAGTGTACAATGT